ACAAAATATATAGCTTATTTAATTTTAAACAGAATGTAGTGACTTTTACAATATCTAAGTTAATTATAACTTATGAAGTTAATTACCCTCTGCACACAAACAAGTAAATTATTGATTTTATTTTCTGAGAGTATTATGTTGACAATTAGAAAACCTGGCAGCCCAGTGCCACACCCATTGTACATGACTGTATGTACTGCCCAAAGGCATAGAACTCTTAGCTATTCTTGTATACTACCTATCCTAAAAACATTAAAGATCAATATCATAATATAATTATGAAGGTTTGGTAGTGATTTTTTTTTCCCACCCATATGAGTATTGGCAGTATTCTTGTATTTATTTGTTGTTGTTACTTGTGTGAAGAAGTAAAATAATATTATGCTTATGTACAAAAAATGGGCATGTTTACACACAACCCTATGGCAACACAGCAATCATGTATCTAAATGCTATCGCCAGCTACATCACTTTAGTGGTAAAATCTAGGTATACACGAATCGCACAGCACAGTAACCACCAGGAGTCAGCTCCTGACTACAGGAACCTGGAGTCAGCTCTCTATGTATTAGTGGTGTTTCATTTTAATCATGGAAAAACATGGATTTTGGGTTACTTTTTTAATCTGAAAATTGGGGATTTTTTTTTTTTTTAATCAGAGAAAACCAGGATCCCTGCTAATCAGGCACTAGATCAAGGAGTTGCAATGGCTTGCCAGGACACATGCAGAGGCCAAATATTTTTATATACCTGTTGCTGAATGTGCAAATGAGACACTCAAAGATTCTGTGAGAGTTGAACACAAATCCATAGATTGCCTTGTGTCTATCTTGACCTTACAGAGGGCATCCTTGGTGCTCTCTGCATCACTTTACACTTTAACACAAAAATGGTACCATCTAGTGGCACATGCTGACACAAGGCTTTACCATCCCAAAGGGACCCTAGCAACAGGAATGGAAGCAAACAGCTCCTAGTCATCAGGCAGGCTGGCTAGCACTGGATCTGTGATATGACTGCATTCACAGGGGAATGATGGGTTTCAACCATGTAGATTTACAGGGTTTTCCTCCCTCCAGCCAGGAGCAGACTTCATCCTTCTGGTGCTGTTAAAAAGGCAGAGCGTGAAAAAGCTGTCATCAATCAGCTGAATCTCTTCCTTTTTCTCTATTTCTGTCCTCCATCTGGTTCTGAGGGAGTCCACAATCATGCAGAACCCAAGTTTTCGTCATCTCATTTCCCTTCTTCCCTTCCACATCCCTGGGACCACAACTCAGAAATTGGCAGACACCTGTGTCTTCACATGGCCTGTGCAGAGTCCAGAGCTTTGCAAAGCCAAGCTTTCATCACCTCACTTTCATTTCCACATCCTTAACACCTGGCTAGACACTTTCCCATCCTAACATGCCTATCCTGCACACTCTCCCCACTTCCCTCCAACATTTTCTACCCATACTGTAGATGACCACATGAGAGCACAAGTTCAGTTGACAGTGTTTAATTGGGTATCTGACATCATTCTGCAATTCACTACTCTGAACCTCAGCCTGGAATCAGGAAAACTGGTTAGCCAGTGCATTTCCTGGAAAACCAGCCTCAATTTGAGAATCTATAGGCACATGCAGAGGCCACAAACTACGACATGTTCTACTCACTGACATCCATGAATGTCCTCAGGCACCTCCAATGAGCCTTCAAATGCCCAAACATGCATTCCACAGCCATTCTGCAGCTGCTGAGCTGTAAGTTAAACAGTTTGTTCTGGGTATCCAGGAACCCAGTGAAAGGTTTCATCATAGTGCAGTGGCAGTATCCCTGATTCATAGTGAGGGTACAGTCACGCCTTTTCTGTTGCTAACGGACAGGCCAGGGCCAACTCTTTCTACTCCATCAGTTCAGGGATGAGCAAATTCCTAAATATCCTGGCATCATGTACCCTCATGACCCACTAGCGTTTATGTATGTAAAACATCTGTGGTGGTCCACAACTTTCTGAAGTATGATTGAAAAGCAGCCGTTCCAGTTGAAGAATTCATGGCCACAGTGCATAGGGAAAGGATGGTGATGTGTATGCCATTGATAACCCCAACACAGCTAAGGAATCTTACGTTGGAAAACTTGTCCATGATGTCATGTGAGTCATTAGCAGGGATCCTGTTTTTTTCTGATTAAAAAACAAACAAACAATTTTCAGATTTAAAGAAGTAGCCAAAATCCACATTTTTCCATGATTAAAATGAAACACCACTATACTTCTATCTATATATTAGTGGCATTGCATTTTAATCATGGAACAATGTGGATTTGGGGTTATCTGAAAATTGGGGATTTTTTACTCGGAGAAAACCAGGACCCCTGGCCATTACACACTGGATTGCCAGACATGCCTCCCACACTGCCTCTCTTCCCCTTGACTCGATAATGTCAAAATTGTTTTCCGCACAGAAAACTATCTGGGGTTGTGATATTCCATATTGTGAGGGCAGTGCACTTTTCCATAGATAAAGGCTATTATCACTATTGTCTGCAGATGTATGTACAGGGCAAGCTTGCCACAAGATCTCAATGGACGTTCCCCTGTACCTGCAGAAGATTGATCACTGCTAATCAAACCAGGTGGCCATGATAATTTGCTCCCACCAGTTGCTGTGATAAATGCAAGGTTACAGTAGAAGTTCACATTCCCAAAATATATTGAATTCTGATTGAAAATTTAATTCAATGATTCTTTTAAATATCTATATTCCAGAAGCAAAGATATTTTATGCTGTAAAGTTAAATCAAATGCAGTTCTTACCTGGAAGGACTGGAAGTTTATTATGAGTGAAACACAGGAATGGAAGTAACTTTATTTTAAACATCTCTATTCTGTTTTGAAATTTAAAAAAAATATGCACAGACACTTTTAATTTTTTTCTGAATAAAACCTGATGTGCTACTTAGTATGCTGTCAAAGATTATCAAATATATCTACAATATACAGTAGGATTTGTGATAGACTAGGCAAAACCTGGTGCAGAATTACATATTATCTGGACCTCAAAAATTATTTAGGGACTATGTATTGAATAGATTCCTCCACTGTAATTTACAGCATGCACAGCTTTTGGGTATGTTACAAGCAAACTTTTCTAATGAAACTCATAATTAAGTATGGTTTATGTAATTTATGAAAAAGTAATAAATTATATAATTAATACTATAAGCCATCTGACTCTTATTCTTCCACTTCAAATGAGAGGTCACAATGAAGAAGATAACAAGAAGCCCATCCTCACTTCCACTCCAGCTCAACAGCCTAGAAAACTGCAGCCCATATGCTTCAAGAGAGCAGAGGTAGTATCCTCTGATAAAAGGGAAGGAAAAGTCATATATCTGTTACTACAATCAATGGTACTGTTCAGTCCTGAAAGATATTACAAATAGACAAACAAGGAACATTCCCTTGTAAACTAACTAACTCTTAAGATGAATTCTGTTTCTCAGATTCATAATATTTCCTGGAATTTCCTTAGAGCAGTGGCTTTCAATCTTTTTTCATATGAAGACCCCTAAACATGTTTTAATGGAGATGACGACCCCTTTGAAAATGTTTAATGGAAGTTTTTTAAATTGTAAGTATGGGTAGTCACATACTTTTGATTGATCATAATTGTCTTTCACAGACCCCTGAGACGTGGTCTGCAGAGCACAGGTCAAAAACCACTGCCTTATAGGAGCTGTAGCATTCCCTTACATCTAGGGCCTTAATTGCACAATTTGATCCACAAAGTTGTTTGTTTAAATGAATTCAAGCATTGTTCTCAGGATAAAGTTTGTAACTAATTAAGATTGGTGTTACTTTAAAGGAAAAAATAGCTCAGAGTTGGATCAACTTAATATAAGATGCAGTTATATGCTAATGAAAAAAGTGAGCTATTTCCAATGACAACTTGTATTAATAGGAAATGATGGCTACAATCCACAAAATTTGTGTTAGGATTTAATAGGATGAGCTTATCTAATAATAACTGAAGCAGTAATTTGCCATATTTTTATATGTCAATCTGCAGACATTCTGATGCTCATCTAATGAATTTGGTGCCTGAAAAGCAACTGCCTGCCCAGTGGAGATTGACACCAGCTGTTGCTATAGCACTCCTGTAATAAGACAAATAAACAATACTCTCATTTGATAGTTGATGAAACTTTCTCTAGTGATAGCAAGATTGCTTTAATTGACATAGCACCCAAATACTGAGTAATGAAGGATTCAGTAGGGAGGCCACTGGCTGCTGCTTAATCAAAAATGCGCCCTAAAGATTATGTCAAAATGCACCATCTCTTTGTGTTATAGAGGTACAGGTTAGCAGCACTGAAAATTCAGTTTCTTACCCTCTCCCCACATCAGTTATTTATTTTTATTAGGACATTATAACATCTGTAGTAAGACACTAATTTTACAAGAGGTTCTACCTGAACTTCCATGCAGACTGACAGGTCCACCTGAATGCAATTGTGCTGCAGTTCTGGGACTGAAATTAGTAGTTTTCTGTAGCAGAGAAAATAGCTTCCACTAATCTTTTTCTTCCATCGGACTTGGTTTTGAGTCCTAGCAAGGAGTTACTACTGCAATTACCTTTGTTTCTGCTCATTACTTTGCTAAGCAGGAGCCCTGAAATGAAATGATTCATGCCAGATTCACTGTTGCCTTTAGGGGAAGCACTCATTTGCAGCAGTGAAGCTGATGAGGTCATTGCTAATTTCATTTTGGCACTGGACTAAGTTGGCCTGCTGACTAAGGAAGTCTGGAATGCACTGATTTACATGTTGCTCACATTTCCAAAGTCACCTCTGCAATCAGAACTTTAATGAAAGTTTAAATTCTGTATTAATTAATCACATCTTAGGGAACATCTCCATCTTACTACGTGCAAATGGGCACACATCTTTCTCCCAAAGCACTAAACTACATAATGGGTGGTACTAACTGGAGATATAATAGCACCTAAATATAGCCTGAAAAAATGTAAAGGACCTAAGACAACAAAGCAGATCACAGGTAAGCCAAAAGTGCATATAATAAATGAGAGAGATGAGGAAGGGATGTTTGGAGACTCTTCAGATCCATGCCTGAATCAAATTTACATATTCTGCTATGGGAACGCTTTCTTTTTTTCTTCACAGATTAGGAGAAGGGAATGGAACCCCACTGCTGTTTCTCATACTACAAGGATGCTTCTTATTTTACACAGGGTATATGATAAATTTTCTATAAAGTAACATGTGAAAAATACTTGGTACTGATGGTCAGCAGCAGTGAGAAGGGGCTTCTGTGGCTAATATTAACAGTATTTTGTGGAGCTTGCAATGGATTTCAGGACAAGAAGGATGGGGAAGGATTTAAACAGCAGTTTTCTAAGGGTTTAGGTACACAATGGATGTGTCTACCCATTCATTAATGCACTCTAGTTACTACACATTAAATTTAGTACTTGGCAGTAGTGCCAGTGCATGTTCGGTTTTTTTTGTGATGCTTAATGCACAGTAACCTAATTACATTGCACAGTAGTATAGTAGCACGGTTTTTGACTGGCACACTACTGTGCAGTGTTATTTGGCTACTGTACAGTAAGTGTCTTGTGTAGATGCTTCCCATTAAGTATTGCATGATAACTTTAAGGAACATTAGATTGTACTAAAGTTAGCACAAGATAGGAGCAGTTGTATGTTGAGGGTTAATACTGTCTCTAATACAGATTAGACCTGGTGGTAGAGAGAGGGCAATTAGGAGCATGGCTGGGAGCTGCCATGTCTGCTTCACACCTGCCAGGTCACTGGCTCTCCAGTGGCACTATAGGCTCCTGAGCAACCCCCAATGGCCCGGAATGGACCAATGCTGCCTTTGCTGGGTCCCATGGCTGCTCCCCTTGGGTCCCTCAGCTGCCTAACAGCTCCCCAAGGTGGGAGGAAGAAGAGAGGGTGGGTTAGAAAAGAGATTCCAGATAGTTTCAGGGCCTGGTGAAGGCAGCACAGACTTAATCTGGCCATTCAGGGACTGCTGGGTCCACCCTCAACTGCCCAGAAGTTTCACACCCAATCCTGCCCCCCTTCCCCTTTGGGGAGTTGTGGTGTCCAGTGGGGGCAATTCAAACTCAATCTAAGTGCATGGTGGGGAGGCTGTTGGGCCCATCCCCACTTCCTGTGGCTACCCAGCAGCTCCCCATCTCCTCCTCCTCCTGCCCTGTGATCCACCTTGTCCCCTCTTCCACTTACTCTTCCTCATCCCACTTCCTACCCTTCCCCTTCCATTGCTTCCTTCCCTTTCTCCATCCCATTCACCTCTCCCACCACTCCCTTCATCTTCACACCTCCCCTGCCCCCACTTACCCGCTAATGGAGTAGAGCTCTGGAAACTGGCTAGTGGATGATAGCTAGGCCTCCTTGGATACTGGAAGACTGCAAATTTCTGGTTGTAGGCTCACAGAACAGGCTGAAATTATTGCAACATATACAGTCAACACAAGCTAGAGATAATCTTAGCCTGAAGAGGATTTGTCAATGAGAGAAGCAATCCCTTGATTTGAGGATGATCTATAGCATGTTGATATTACTTGTTTCAAATCCTTGAGGCACAGATCCATCTGAAGAAGCTAAAGGTTTTTCAGCAGCAGAGAGTAGACTGGAATTACTTTTCTTTTTCCTCTTCCACTCTCCCTTCTCCGCTCTGAGGGCAAGGCACCTTACCTCAAACAGGCTGCCACTTGGTTGAGGTTGCAGCTCCACTGAAGTCAGTTGGCAGCCAGGTTCTCCCAGCTCTTAAAACCCACATCCATTTTCTTGAGGTATGCCTTCAGTGTGTCTTTGTAGCATTTCTCTGGCCATTGCAAGATCACAAAATATATGGTCCTTATTAAACTAGAAGCAGATTAGAAGACGATTTTCTCTGAGATGCCCAAAAAGTACTTAGCTCATATTTACTGCCTCAATGTGCAGACACTCCCATCTTACAGCATTTAACAAGTTTGAAAGATAATATATAACTGCACCCTAATGATGGGAGCCTGCAAAGGAATGTGAAGAATAAAGTGTTGGAAGAGAGCCAGAGGGAAGAAATTGGCAGTTCAGTAGTGGAAATCTTAGCTAGATGATGTTTTTTTTTCTGTGTGTTGGGTAGAACCAGAACACACGAATTCCTTTCGGTGCATGTTAAGTCAACAGACACTTTAATCATGGAATATAGGAGAAGTAGCACCCAAAAATCTTTTTGTCATGCATGGGCTAAGATAGTCTCATTTAATGTAAGAGTTTTAGGAAACAGTGGCAGGATTATGCTCTGTCCAGATGGATAGTTTAGTGATTTTAGTAGCAAAGTCCAAACATTTTTTTTTTTAAATATGTGTGGGGTGGGGGAGGGGGGTGGTTCTATATAGTATACATGGTTTTTTGTATATTTTGACTCCAACTAGCTAGGACAATTTTTGACAAGAGTTGGTCAAAATGGTGAGTCATTTAAGTAAAAGTATTTTCAGAAAGAAAGAGCTACTAAAAACAAATTTCCCATTTAAAAAAATATTGAAGAATAGGTTCTGAAATTGCTTAACTATCCTATTTTGCCATTATGAAGTGAAAAGTTTATTTTCAGTTTCACAATGATTTTTTGTCACTGTGGTTTTGAGTTTAAATTAATTTATAAAGAAAGAAATATAGTTTAAAACTTGGTTGAAGTTGAAACATAATGTTTTAACTATATTGTATCAATTTGCCCCATAAATTACTTTGTTGGCTCACAAAATATATGGAAATTTTTATTTTATATCCTTATTCAGGATGGTGGTAACAACAATAACAATAATAATAATGCAGCTAAATGTGGTATGTATATAATTATTTATAATATATATTATTTTTTACATTTGTTCTGGGGTATTGCAGTCCTTTCTTACACTGCTCTAATGCAGACCAATTCTGAAAGGATTTTCCTGGAAACAGCAAAAGTACTCTTTACAACCAGATTGTGCACTTTTGTCTGGTTTCAAACTCTTTTCCAAATATTTGAGGTACTAGGCAATATAATTCTGTCGTGGGTTCTATCAGGAGCCCATTTTTGTAGGACCCCCCAGCTTACATAGTCTCTTGGAGTATGAAAAGAGGTAGTTAGACATGTTATTCTGAAGTTAGGAACAGGGTAGAAATGCACCTCATAGACAACTTTAAGTCACAGATGCATACACTTTCGTAAATCAGCCCAGGGATAGCTTCTAGAGTGGGCTTCTTGGACTCCAAGGCCAAACGTTTTGGCTTCTGACTTGGCTTGTGATCTTTGGCCCCCTCAAAGAAGTACAGGAGAGGGCCTTTTACTTCTTCGCAGGAATGGAGTATAGACAAAGTCATATGCATTGAACCAAGAAACTCTTCTTTAACAAAAAAATAATCTTTAGCAGTGAACAACAGTACAGCTGACAAAATCCTCAAGACTAAGGATTTAGCATAGACCAAGTCTACGTTAAATCCCCAACAGTCTTTGTCAAGTAACCACCACTGCTCTTCGCTTTCAG